TTTAAGTTCTGAGTTGGTTTGTGGTATGAATGTACAATGTTATTCCTATGGAAAATCCTCTTATTTTTTGTCAGGTTTTTATCAGTCCATCAATAAAATGTTGTATTCTTTGTAATAGTTCAAATGATTTCTTTTCTTCACAGGCTGTACAGACTGGGACAGTACTGTTCATCAATAATCTGAAAAATAAAAAATTCTTGAGGTAAACTGTAATATATAAGAACTTTCCATAAAAGAAACCCTAGGACTGACAAATGTGCTATATGTGATGTATACAATGGCACACTTGCTGGTGGAAACCTAGAAGAATGCATAATTAAGGACGCGTGCGCGTCTTTGTCCTCTGATATAACACGGTAGGAGTTGAAAAACACCAGAGAAGCAAGCTTAGAGACACAAGTGTAGCGAGTGTTTCTCTTGCTTCCCGAGGTCTTTTTAACTCCCAGCGTGTTTATATCAGAGGACAGAGACACAAGCAGCCATTTTATAGTTCTTTTATAAAATTTTTCCACGTTTTTTGAGCGAATAACAAATTATGCTGATAAGCCGTGTCTCCTGTGCCTCTGTTATAAACATGTTCGTCATCCAATCAGAGCACGCGTTATATATCAAAAATTTTATAATACCAAATTAAAAACATAACGTTCTTTGATTTCAAAATGTTAACATCCTCTTTTTTATCTCAGTTCAAAAGATGCCGTTGTCAGTGTTGCTGGCAAGGATTTGACAATGGAGTATTTCGAGAGGAATGGTTTTAATAAACCTATTCTAATAAACAAGAAGGATGACCTAGGGTTGGTTGTACCTCATCCGGACTTTACTGTTTTGGATGTTGAAAGATATATTGGTACGTGATGTAACAATATTTTTTACAATGTAAAGTCTTGCCAAATATGATACACTTTTAAAAAGTCATTTTTAAATTTTTATGACATCACACTTGCCAATGCTTTTACCATACTAGCAAGGGTATATCAGTACCCTTGAGGATTATAGGACATCTTTCACCAGACTCTTTCGATGTTTTTTATATATTAAATATTAAAAATGATCCCATGTTGATTCATCTTGATTGTGTTCTGGTTCAGTGATACTGACAAACTGTCTCTAAATAGCTGCTGTTTGTTAGTATTTAGTTTGATTTTATTTCATGGTTTTCCTGCATTTGCTTTAGTACATTAATGGTTAAAAATTGATATTGATTGTTGCTTTTGTTTATTCAGGATCAATGAAAGAACTGGATGTGATAGATGTCTGTAAACAGGTATAAAAGCAACAAACTCTACCTCTTATCTTAAGGTTCATTT